GATTTCAGAGAGGTAATGGGGATGGAGGAGAAGCAGATAGCTTAGAGCCCTGTAGGTATGTTCTAGAACAGAATTTGACTTTTGCACTGAATGTGTTCGGATCACATCATATGTCTTATATTTTAATGGGATCGTTATGGCAACTGGACAATAGGATTTATTGGTATAAGGTAGAAAAGGGAAGATTAATTAATAGGCCATTCCAATAATGCAGGTAGAAAGATAAGGGTCATTTAGATCAGTCTGGGGGCAGTGGGTGTGAAGAGAATTGGTTGATTTCTCCCTATATTCTTCAAGTATATCCTGCAGAATTTGCTATTAGATAGGATGTGCAATGGAACAGAAATATAGTGGGAGTCGAGGGCAACACCATGTTTTTTGCCCTGTTTTGAAGATTTCCTTAAGATAGACAAATTTACAAGGAAAGCCATAGATGACATATTTGCACTCTTACTACTCAGATTTGATGTACAGTGTTGATGATGTGAGCACTAGAGAATGAGAATCTTACCCCAAGAAATAGTGATAAAGTCTTGTTTTCATCTTTCTCTATTTAGAAAACTCCCCTAGTCCTTATGTTGGAAACTGTTGAGAAATAAACATATTATGTTTGCAATGGGGCATCAAGTACCCCAAAGAGATTTTGTTATGAAGTTTAGACAGTTAGTGAAGGATTTAATGTAATTGGCTGTTCAAAAGTTCATAGGATACAGATGGAACTTGAACTTGTACCCTGTCTGCATAAAGTACAGATGTTTATATCAAGATAGAATTGTTCAAAGTGCTTTGCCTAGGTATATCTCATTCCCCATTTTCCCAAGCCCAAGTGATATTGTCATTACTGAGGATACGTGAGTTAAAGTGGAAGAGGGTTTGGCATTAATGCTTAGTGATGTCATCACAGAGTAAATCAGTCTTGGTTTGTACAGCCATTTCTGTTCAAGAGATATGGTCAGAATCCTCGAAAATTTTTCCTATGTCATTACTGATGATAGATGCAAGGTGCCATTGTGGAATGCTAAAAGTTTTCTTTCTTCTCTTACAGATCACAGTACATCCCCTAATATCTCATGTCCTATATTTACCTTAGAGATGTGATGTTAGGTCCGAGCATACCTATAATAGTTATGCCTTCCATTACAGACTGAAATTTTGCCACAGCTCAACATAATGTTACAGTTGCGATTTTCGAGGACTAAAAATTAAACCATTCTTTCTCTTTGCAAGCTTGTAACCATTTGAGAGACAGGTACAATAATCAAACAAATGGAGGTCAAAATATTGCCTTTATAATTGATAAAAGCTGAATTGACGGACATGCTTAGATATGGGGCCACAAGGACTTCCTCATACTTCACCCAATCACAGGTAGAACTAGATAATTGTAGACCTCTCTGATAGGGACAGGCCCACAAGTCTTACCCTGTGTCTGTGAGCAAATGAGAGTGCATATTCTGGCCAAAAGAAATAAATCCAAGAGAGAAGCCAAAAAATTTCTCCCATGTCTAACTCCTCTCAAATTCACTAATTAAAGAAGTCATTGAGAGATATGAAGCCAGGAAAATAAAGGTACTATTTGATGACTAAGGGCTACACATAGTCCTTGGTAGAGAAAACAAAATGTTTTTTTTCAACTTCGTGCAGTTAATATGTTTCACAATATACCTGAGCATAATTTGCAATGGGTTATAGTTTAGAGAATATTTCCAATGCGGCTTTAATGTCCTTTTAAAAATTAATTTCAGCCAGGCGTGGTGAGCCACACCTGTAATCCTAGCTCTCTGGGAGGCTGAGGCAGGAGGATTGCTTGTGGTCAGGAATTTGAGACCAGCCTGAACAAGAACAAGACCCCATCTCTGCTATAGAAAAAAATTAACTGAGTGCAGTGGTGTGTACCTGTATTCCCAGCTACTTGGGAGGCTGAGACAGGAGGATGGATTGCTTGAGCCCAGGAGTTTGAGGTTGCTGTGAGCTAGGCTAATGCCACGGCACTCTAGCCTGGGCAACAGAGCGAGACTCTGTCTCAAAAAAAATAAAATAAAATAAAAATTAATTTCAGAGGCTTCTGAGATAAACTATGAGCTGCTAAGATTACTTATTTAAAGAAGCAACAGTATATATTGGAGGAGCCTCATAAAGTGGGAACATGACTCCACTGACTACCCTATAATCCTCTTGTCTCTGTCATGAGGGAAGTAAACCACACCACTGATTGACCACAGGAGTGGCTAAGTAAACTCACTTGTTTAAAAGATAATAAAAAGCGGGTACATGAAAATTCTTTCGCTAAAAATCACTACATTTTAAAATGTTGGATAAAATATGACATATCTCCTTTCAAATGTATAGCTGAACTTTAAAGAGTGTGAGGGAAATCCCAGGGACCAAAAATTAAGAAAGAATTGAAAACGGCAGTAAGCACATAAACTGATGCTTTGGCAGCATGGACAGAGAGGGGTGTTGTCTCAGTAACCGAAGGATTTGTAAAAAAAGATAAGACCTTAAGCCTGATAAAATTTGGTTTTTAGAACTAAGATCTAACCTTCCTTTCAATTCTCCACATAATTACCAGAATAAGCTTTTAAAAATGTAAATCAGATTATGTCACCCTCTTACTTAGAATGCTCCAAAGGCTTCCAATTACATTTTACACAAAATACAATCTTCATGTCTTATCCTGCAATCCCTAGATCATGCATTCTGAAATGAGATGATATTGCCCCCAAGGGGGATAAAATTGATCCTTGCTGTAGGAAGTGAAAATATGTTAAATATTAATGGTTTGTGGCCCTCCAAAGCTCAATTGTATCTGACAAAGTCTTATTCCTTAGAACTTAATTATTCTTGTTTTCTTGGATATCACATAAGCAGCATTGCCATTGAGCTCATGGAAGATACACAATATGCATGCAAGACCAGTACTAGAAAACCATGGCAAATAGATGGCTATGATTGGAGGACTTTCAATCTGTTGCTCATTCTTTTTTTTTTTTAATTCATTCTTGAAGTCATATGTCAAGAAGTGGCCTGTGCGTGCTTATTGGCTGCCATTAACTGACTTTATGTTTGATCCTAAGTGTCCTTGTGTGTGGCTTGGGCTTTGAGAATTAAATAAAAATAGTTCATATTTAATTTTACATAAGTTATTTAACCCATCATTATTTATGCCAAGTGCTGAAAAGAAAAAATGTTGACGATATATGAATGAATATTTAGCAGCTAGTTAAAACTTATTTTCTCGTGTCAAGCAAAAGAAAAAATTAAGTTGACTAAAAATAACTTTTAAGAAATTAATTTTTTTAGTTGTTTACTTTTGCTAGAAAAATAAATTGTGAATGATTTTTAAAAATTTCATTACATTGTTATTATGTATTTATATAAATTGCTAATTGGATATGTATTTTGAGACATTATAATTTATATAAGTAAATAAACTGCCTTAAAAGTCACTCAGCAAATATAGTTATACAGTTAAGTTAGATGTTACCAGCTTTCTAATTTTTTTTCTTTTTTTCAAAAAGAATTTTTATTTGTAAAATTATAGTTTCAGAAGGAAACAGACAATAGCATGAGACTAATCTTTATATAGGCACATTTTGGTAGACTGGTCTTCTCATTCCTGGTCAAGGAGCTTCTCTAATTGATGGTTAATATTTTGCAGATGGTTTTCAGTTCCCCAAACGGTTCTTGCATTAAATAACAGAGCTGGAAGGCTGGACGAATCATATATTTCCTTTACTTTTGGTTCTTTCTCTTGAATATCTGCATAATCTTAATAAAGCTGTTTGAAATTAGATAAGGAATACGTTGCATTCCTAAGGGAAGAATTTCTCTCCTTAAGTTTATCATATTTTGTTTGTACTTGTTTCAGCTGTGGCTCTAACCGAAGCAGTTCATTCCGGATTTCAATCAAATGCTGCCTTTTCTTTTTGATATCTGAAATCATCTTAGCATTCTTCCTTTTCAGTTTTTTCAACATCTGGGTATCTTCAAGCATTTTGATGAGTTCTTCTTTAATATTGAAATGAAATTTGTTGATGGCTTCCATACAAATTTTGGATTCTATTCTTTGTTTATACTCTAGGAGGGTTTTCACAAATGCATACAAAACAATATCCAGCTCCATGATGTCACTGGTTTTCTTTCCTTCTAGACACCAACTATGTGCAATGTTGAAAGTATCTGAATCTATAGCTTCACTTCTTGATTTCTCCCTTTTGACACAAGACATCTTCCCTTTTACCTGAGTTTTTGGTTGACTTTCTGTTGCCAGGGTCTCTTTTTTTTTCAGCATATTATGGGGGTACAGATGTTTAGGTTACGTATGTTGCCCTTGCCCACCCCCTAAGTCCGAGTTTCAAATATGTCCATCCTTCGGGTGGTGCGCATTGCACTCTGGTCTCTTTTTCAACAGAGGGCTGGGCACTAAGTGTTACTATTTTTTTAACCATATCATATCATTGCCATTTAATTTTTATACCACCCAAAATCAAGGTTTGTGTCTGCCCTAAAAAAGCTAACTAAAATTGGTTGCCTGTAGAAAATACAGAAAATTAGTGGTTATGAACATCTATCTGCCTTACTATTGACAAAATAATTTTGATTATTTTTTAATAGTAAAAACCATAGTAGATCCAGGTCCCCTTTACATGGTAAAATGATTAATAACCTAGGTAATGATATGCAGAGTATAATGACATGGTCTACACATAAAACATAATCTCTATGGGAAAACTATTCAAACTTTTCTTCTAACTGACTATTGTTCAGGGACTGCCAAAGCCTACAAAATAGCATTTTTTAATTCAAATGTCAAATGTGGGGCTATGTTTTTTTTATTTCAAGATATTATGAAGGTACAAACATTTTGGTTACATTTTAAGTCTTTGCCTCACCCAAGCGAGGATTAGAGGCATACCCTTCTCCTTTACAACGCTCACTGCGTCCATTAGTTGTGAGTTTAACCCCCACCAACCTTCCAATCCCTGGAGAATATTACTACCGTGTGAGCACCATACTGTTGATCAGTCAGTGAAAATTTGATGGCGAGTACGTGGAGCCTATTCTCCCAATCTTGTGATACCTCATTTCGGATAATGACTCAAGCTCTATCCAGGAAAATATAAGAGGTACTAGGTCACTGTCATTTCTTATAATTGAGTAATATTCCATTGTACACATATACCAAATTGTAATAATCCACTCATGAATTGACGGACACTTGTGTTGTTTCCACATCCTTGCAATTGTGAATTGTGCTGACATAAACATTCAGGTGCAGATGTCTTTATTATAGAATATCTTTTGCTCTTTTGGGTAGATGTCTAATAGTGCTATTGCTGGATCAAATGGTATTTCTATTTCTAGCTCTTTGAGGTATCTCCAAATTCTTTTCCACAGAGGATGCACTAATTTGCAGTCCCACCAGCAGTGTAAGAGTATTCCTGTCTCTCCACATCCTCACCAGCATTTGTTGTTTTGGGATTTTTTGATAGAGGCCAATCTCACTGGGGTTAGGTGATGTCTCATTGTGGTTTTGATTTGCATTTCTCTAATGGTTAGAAATGTTGAGCATTTTTTTATATGTTTGCTGGACATTATTCTGTCTTCTTTTGAAAAGTTTCTATTCATTTCCTTTGCCCATTTATTGATGGGGTTGTTTGATTTTTTCTTGTTGATTTTTTTAAGTTTTAGGTAGATTCTTGTTATCAGCCCTTTATTGGATGTGTAGAGAGTAAATATTTTCTCCCATTCTGTAGGCTGTCTATTCACTCTAATGATAGTTTCCTTGGCTGTGCAAAAGCTTTTTAATTTGATCAGATCCCATTTATTTATTTTTGTTTCTGCTGTGATTGCTTTGGGGGGTCTTCTTGAAAAATTCTTTGCCTAGGCTGATGTCTGAAAGGATCTTCCCAATATCTTATTCTAGAATTCTTAAGGTTTCATGCCTTAGGTTTAAGTCTGTTATCCGTCTTGAATTGATTTTTGTGAGAGGTGAGACGTGGGGATCCAGTTTCAATCTTCTGCATGTAGCTATCCGGTTTTCCCAGCACCATTTATTGAAAAGAGTTTCTATTCCCCAGTGTATATTTTTGTCAGCCTTGTCAAAGATTAGATTACCATATGCGGATGGTTTCATGTCTGTATTCTCAGTCCTGTTCCAAAGGTCTATGTCTCTGTTCTTGTGCAAGAACCATGCTGTTTTAATTAATATAGCCTTGTGCTGCAGCTTGAAGTCTGGCAGATTGATACCTCCCAGTTTGTTCTTTTTACTTAAGATTCCTTTGGCTATACGAGGTCTTCTCTGGTTCCATACCAAGCATAGAATTATTTTTTCTAGATCTATAAAGAATGATGATGGTACTTTCATAGGGATTGCATTAATTCTGTAGATCACTTTAGGTAGTATGGACATTTTAATGATATTGATTCTACCAACCCATGAGCAAGGTAGATTTTTCCATCTGTTTACATCTTCTACAATTTCTTTTCTTAGTATTTCGTAGTTCTCCCTGTATATGTCTCTCACATCTTTCATTAAATATATTCCTAGATATTTAAGTTTCTTTGAAGCTATTGTAAAAGGTATTGCATTTTCTATTTGAATTTCGGCTTGATTGTTATTGACGTATATGAATGCTTCTGATTTGTGTGCATTGATTTTTTTATCCTGATATTTTACTGAATGGTCCTATTTTTTTAGGAGCAACCAATTCAGCTGGTTTCTCTGAAAGTTCTGAAGATGCTGTAGTTGGAATAGCTTCGTGTTGTTGTGTAATTATTTTCTCTGCTGATTTAAATTTTCTTCTTACATCTCTTTCTTCAGCGCTTTCAAACGCATCGCTGTGGGCTTGCATTCTCTTCCTGGTTTTTTTGCCCTAATTTTTACACATTCATTTTTTACTTGCTTCACTTTCAGAAGTGTTTGAACTTTTTCTTGCTTCTTTTCTTGGAGGAGTTGAAGGGAAAGATAATCCACAATGTTTGGAGAATTCTTCTTCATCAGCATATACAGCTGTGCTGTGTAAAGGAGGATATCTTTCACGGAATGTGTTCTTCCTAAAGTGTTCTTTGCATATCTTGCACTCACATGCCCGCATGACCACAACTCGCCGCCGCAGTGCTATCAGGCTAGCATTCCAATTTTTTTTTTTTTTTTTGAGACAGAGTCTCACTCTGTTGCCAGGGCTAGAGTGCTGTGGTGTCAGCCTAGCTCACAGCAACCTCAGACTCCTGGGCTCAAGCGATCCTCCTGCCTCAGCCTCCCGAGTAGCTGGGACTACAGGCATGCGCCACCATGCCCGGCTAATTTTTTTCTATATATTTTTAGTTGTCCAATTAATTTCTTTCTATTTTTAGTAGAGACGGGTCTCACTCTTGCTCAGGCTGCTCTCGAACTCCTGAGTTCAAACCATCCACCAGCCTCAGCCTCCCAGAGTGCTAGGATTACAGGCGTGAGCCACCGCGCCCGGCCCCAATTTTTAATTTAACTTCTATGTTCAAATTTTATTCATTCTTAATCCTACATACAGCTTGCTATTTTTATGTATAACACACTGATACACATGCATTTATTGAATAGATACAATGGTATTCAATACATTAATGGTATTTAAATATCATGAGGGAACAATTAGAAAGAAATATCTTAAGCCTTCTAGTGGTCGGGGGACAATAAGGAAACAAGAGTTAAGAAGCACTGCTCTAGATGAGCTCACTTTTTTTCTGATTCAAACACGGTCTCCTTTTCACTATGTACTACCATCGTACTAACATTTCTCTCTGTACTCAAAGGCAACAAGTTTGTTTCCACCTCAAGGCATTTGCACTAGAGTTTTTTCTTACTCCCAGGGCTTTTCATAACTTCTCATAACTGGTTGCTTCTCATATACAGGTCTTGACTCAAATGTTACCTGTTCAGACAATCTCTCCTTCTGCCCCATAACCTTGTTTTTCTTCCTCTGCAATCCTTAATCACTGTGTTAACTTGTGTCTTTTTTACATTATTTGTTTATTTTCTGTCTTACTTTACTAGAATATAAAGTTTGAAGGCAGGAATCTTGTCTGTCTCATTCGCTCTAGTACTCTAGTGCCTAGAAAAGGGGTCTGGAACATAGGATTTTCTATAAATATTTGTTGAATGAATGATTACGTTACAGTTTTGTCTTTTCAAATAACTTGCTTTAAATCCCTTTTGCATTTGTTGGGTTTTATTTTTCTGTATTTGCCAGAGGGTTTTTTTGTTTCCTATTGTTTTATTTTTTCACAAAACTTAGACTTAGGTTATGCTACATCTCTTACTAATTTTCTATTTTTACTTCATCAGTCTCTGCAAATTTTAGTTAATTCCTTTAAGTCTCCATGGATGTCTGTAACAATAATTTCTAGTTAATTTTTAATAGAACTGGTCATTGCTATAAATTTATCTTTGAGTAGAGTGCTGGCTATAACCACATCATCTTAGTATGTTGTGTCATTGTTGGTATCATTTTTTAAGTTCTCTGTTGTTAATTTATAATTTCTTTTTCTTTTTGATTTAAGAGCTTTGTAGAAAATTGCTAAAATTTGTGAATACTGAATAGAGGACCAGACAAAGAAGCACAAAATATATTCTTAAATAAAAGATAGTCTTCTTTATCTGGAAAGATTATTTTATATCAGGACAGGTAGCCTGAAGGATGAATGCAGCAGCATTGAGAGAGGACCAAGATACTTAACTTATTGGCTAAATAAGCACCATCAATTCTTGAAATCAGAGTGAGAAATGTCACAATTAGATTGCACTCACCTGTTATTGCAGTATTGTTTGTAATAGCAAAATAACTGAGAAAAAAACCTGAATATCCATCAATAGGAGAATAGTTAAATACATTGTGTTTATGTATAGTATGAAATATTATATAGCTATAAAAAGATATTTTAGAGCTGTATCTATTGACTTGTGTGGTTGCACATAAATGTATATAGTATAATCCCATTTATGTTAAAAAGTGAGAAAAGGCTTTCAAGTTCCTATATTAGTGTTTATATTTGTATATTATTATAATATTGTAGAAAATGGTTTAGAACAATACATACCAGAGGTTTAATATTGGCTAAGTGTGATTGAAAGTCAAATGGAAGATCATTGGGAAGTTCTCGGAGGTGGCAAAGAGAAAAAGGAAAGGAGATAGAGGAAGGTTATTAGTCTTTTTTATTCATTATAGATCATTTTATTGCTATAAAGATTGGAGTAACATATTAACTTTTGGTAATTTTGGAAGATGGTCTTAATATTAATGCACAAAATTGTTAAAATAAGTGATAAGAAATTTTATTTTTTATTCTCATAAGCATAAATATCAGATCCCTTTATGTAAGAAAGATAAATCTAAAGTATGTGGAAAATAGATTTGAAGTGGAGAGACTAGAGTCAGGAAGCCTACCTCTTCCTCTGAGAATACATGAAACTCATCATTTTGTTAACAGCCTTTATTTAGGGAGTTGTTTGGTCATCCTACCGTATAGTTTTTTTATAGTACAGATTAGAATGGTATCTTTTATCTCATGCTTGTTTTTCAGGTAGCTCTTTTTTCCTCATCTGCAACTGAACCCTGAATTTTTTTAAAATCTCGAGATAATGTTCCATTTCCTGGCATGGAAACTAGTTGTGGAAGTCCCCGAGAATGTATTGTTTCATATAACTTCAAAGTCTAATGATATCATCTAGGAATACTATGTCATTTAAGTTGGGAACACTTTGACATTTAAGACGATTTCAACTACAAGTAACAAAAAACCCAGACTCAAATTACTTTAATTATAAAGAAATTTATTAGCTCACAACTTGGAGTCAGAAGTAGGACTCCAGAAATGGTGAGCAGCAGCTAAATGATAAGATCAGAGGATTCAGAGTATTTCCATTCTCTCCTACGCCATATTTATTACACAGGTTTTTCCCTCAGTCTGGTAACAGAGATTCCAGGGGTCATATAAAGATATAGCACCATTCTAAATAAGAAAAGGAAACATCATTACCTGTTTCTTTTCCTTAGGAGTAAAGAGATGTTTTAGAAGACCTCCAGCAGACATGCTATCATGTTTAATTGACCAGGATTACACACCCAGTGCTTAAAAAATCACTTGCAGGGTCAATGGCATCACCATGACTAGTTAGACTAATCTTTTAGAGTCAGATGAATATTGGGATGTCAGTGCCCACGACCACCTACATGTGCAGAATGTATCACTAGGACACATTCTTCTTCTTTCATATAGCTTGGTTCCATTCTCTTCTGTGTGGTGCTTTTGTTCTCAGACTCCAGGTGATGGTAAGGTGAATAGAACAGCTTAATACTCATAACCCTTAGTTTCTTTCTCATGCAATTGAAAAGATCATCTGCCTCATGCCCAAAAGTTTGTGCAAAGTATCATCTCACCTCATCTTGCCCTGTATAGGTTGAATGCCTATTCCCAAACCAATCACTCTAATAGTAATTCCATATACTGAGAAGCAGGCTTAGGCTGTTCCCAAGAGGAAAATTGTAGCAATAGTACCAGAAGTGTGATTGGATGCTATGCTGCAATATCAAATGATGTCTACTACATACATTTTGCAGCTCAGTATCTATATAACCTGTCTTGCCATACTTACACGTTCAACAATGTCTCCAATTTTTACTTTGATCAAATGCTGGTGGAATATGAACTGTTACCATCTATTTGGAAAATATCTTTGCAAAAATAACTGTCATTTTAACTTTTAAGGCGATAGATTAGTTTGACCATTTTTGAACTTTAAATAAATTGAATGGTACAGCATGTGCCCTTTTGTTTTCTGGTTTCTTTTGTTTGACATACTTGTGAGATTTGTTCATGTTGCTGTATGTAGTTGTAGTTTGCTCAGTCTCACTGCTGTGTGATATTCCAATGCATTAATATAGCACACCATATCCAGTATACTACTGATGGAAATTTAAGTGAGTTTCAGTTTGAAGTCACTACAAATAATTGAACATATTTTATTATTCTTAAACCACTTTATTGAAGTATGATTGACAAAAAGTTGTACCTATTTAATGTATAGAGCCTCACGATGAACACATATTGCTTATAAAGAAAATAGGGTTTGGGATTTTAGTAAGAAGAGACTAAGCAATTCAAAACAATTTTCCCATAAGAAACATATAAAATCTGGATAAAAATAGTAAAAAAAAAATCTGCTCAAAGGCATCTAAGAGCTGAGAAATAAAGAATAATTATCCAGCCAAGATAGGGGGAGAACAGGTCTAAGGGGCGAACAGGGCATTTGGTAGATGTTTTCCCCCTGGGAAAGTTTACTCTTTCTAGAGAGAATTGCTGAAAGACATATAGGCTCAGTAGAGCTTGTAACTGCTTGTTGAAGTTGCAGATACAGAAACTAGAGTCCAGGCCCTGGTAAATCTAGGGTTATATCCCAGGAATAAGGGTTAACCAGAACTAAACAAACCCTCACAGAAACTACAGCTTATCTGCAAATTGATTTCCACAAAAATTTATGAAACTGTATTTGCATCAGCACTAGATACTCTTTTCTCATGCTCAGTAATATTAAACTGTACTGTAATGTTCTTTCCTACTTTGATTGTTGAATTAAAATTATCATTGATCTTATTTTCTCTTTTAAGAGTTATTTTATTATTTTAATCATAGTTCTGTTAACATTGAACTCATCCCATGATTCAGATACTGTGTCTGAATAACTAAGATACCATTAAACATTGACATTGTTTACAGGGTTTTTTGTTTATTCATTTTGGTTTTGTTCTGTTTCGTTTTACTTTATTTTACATTTTAATATATCAAATAATGATATGGGTACAAAGTTAGTATTTAACCTTTCCCAAAATATAGAAAGAATCATTCCAGCATTCCTTAGAGAATCCTCAATCTTTACCCGCTAATTTATAGAACTATCATTTTTACATAATTATTTCTAATAAAGTTATCTTTCCAAAGGTTTCCATTCTGATAAATAGAACAGATTACCAGGTATTATGGAAATATTATCTCAAATGTCCAGTAATGGGAGAAAAATCAAATTAAGGATCACTGTAAAATTGAATTTCATGGACCAAGGGCCAGACATGTAGCAAGTGCTCAATTGATATTTGTTTAATGAAAAAATAAATTAAAAAATATATACTGTGCTTAGAAAATGCTTATTCTTGATGGAAAAAGGCATGGCATGAAATTGCATTTGCAAAATTATGCCAGTTTTGTAAAAGCTTAACAAAAAGAAAAAAAACAATGAATATTAATATTTTGCTGTGAGACCAGAGGAACAAGATGTGAGATTGAAGTCATTTTTTTCTTTATATCAATTTCCCAAAATTTACACAGTGCTCATTGTTCATGCAATTGTACAATAGATGAAAAGAAAAACGAGAAAAAAAATGGAAAAAAAAATCACTCAAGACAAACAAAAAAGGCCAGGAAAGACTGCTTAAGAAAATTAGGTAGAGACTGAGTAAAATTGGCAGGCTGAGCACTAGTGAAATTCTCTCATCCAACTCCAAATCTTTTTTAAAATAAGAGTAAAGGCAAATTTATGGATAGGAATTACTCCCTAAAGGCACCCGAACAAACAAAAGGGCGAATTCCTGGAAGAAGGGAAGCAGATGGGGCAGGGGCTCTGAGAGGGCGAAAGTGGAGGTGGGGGTGGAAGTCAAGGGGCCCAAGATGGGTAGTGAAGGGGACTACCAGCTAGGAGAAGGTTTCTGGCATGGGCTACTCCGGATTTGGAAAGAGGTGGAGCCACAGCTAAAAGCTCCTCCTGGGCAAGAGCAGTAGCAGGGCTTGGGAGCAGGGGAGGAGAAGGGGGCGCGGTGTTTGGCAGGAAGGGGAGGCCTCTCTCTTCCCAGGAAGCTGCGCTACAGCAAGAGGGAGGAGACTGCGGCGGCGGCAACAGCTAGTAGAAGCCCAATGTGGCAGAGGGGCCGCCGCCACCGACAGGGAGACGGAGGGACCGCGAGCCAAGCGCTGGGGACGCCGCCGCCACCAGCAGTCCTCTTGCCTGCCTCGCAGCCCTCCTAGACACGCTGCTCGCCTACGGATCCTACCCTCCCAACTCTTGCAAGCACTCACTCCGCTGGTCGCCCACTGATCCCCCTTCCCCATAGGCTCACAGGGGAGGCAGCAGCAAGGTGTCCGATTCCAGGATTCCAGCACGTGAGGCCCGCGATCCCCGCCGGAGGACGCCAGGCAGGGAAAGGCCATTGGTGGGCGCCAGAATGGAGAGGGGGGATGGGAAGGAATCCGGCAGGAGACATGGGGTAGGGGTGGGCACCGGGCAAGTGTGGGGTGGGAGAGTGCGGTGGGCAACAGGAAAAGGGGTTGGAGTTAGGGGACAGATAAGGATTCGAAGGTGAGTGCGTGGGGAAGCAAGGGAGGTGGGTGCCAGAGGAGCACTTGGGGTAGGCAGGGGGCTCGTGGGCAGCAGGCTGGGGCGCTCAGGGCAGGAGGGCAGTGGGTGCCGGCCAAGGTACTGGAGGGATAGGTGCTTTGCAGGGGATCAGGAGTGGACAACAGTGGCAGTGGTCACTGAGCAAGGAGGAGGTAGCCCGCCCCTTCTGCAGAGTTCCTAACACAGCCACCTCTACCACCACTCTAGCCCTTCCCACAGCCCAAAGGAAGCTAAGAGGGAGAGCACCGCAGGCACACAGCCAGGATTTCCAGCATTGCTGCCAGGCTCATGGGGGAAATCTAGGCGCTGGTGCAGGATACATAGCGACATGGCTACAGGGGAAAGTTCACCTTATGGCATACTGGATATTTCTCTTTATCCTCTGCCTCCCCCCCCCCCCACCAGCAGGCATGAAGACCCCCAACGCACAGGAGGCCAAAGGGCAACAAACTAGGGCAGCTGTGGGACGGGCCACTGGGTCTGCAAACTTGACAAAGAAAAAAGCCCCCCAAAAGAAGCAGCGGGGCAGACCTTCGTCCCAGCCCCGCAGGAACATCGTGGGCTGCAGAATTTCTCACGGATGGAAAGAAGGAGATGAGCCTGTCACCCAGTGGAAAGGAACCGTTCTGGATCAGGTGCCTATAAATCCCTCTCTTTATCTGGTGAAATATGATGGAATTGACTGTGTCTACGGACTGGAACTTCACAGAGATGAAAGGGTTTTGTCTCTTAAAATTCTTTCCGACAGGGTGGCATCATCTCAAGTTAGCGATGCCAACCTTGCAAATACCATAATTGGCAAAGCAGTGGAACATATGTTTGAGGGTGAGCATGGTTCTAAGGATGAATGGAGGGGGATGGTCTTAGCCCAAGCACCTATCATGAAAGCCTGGTTTTATATTACCTATGAGAAAGATCCTGTCTTGTACATGTACCAGCTTCTAGATGACTATAAAGAAGGTGACCTCCGCCTTATGCCAGAATCCAGTGAGTCTCCTCCAGCAGAGAGGGAGCCAGGAGGAGTTGTAGATGGCCTGATAGGTAAGCATGTGGAGTACACCAAAGAAGATGGCTCCAAAAGGATCGGCATGGTCATTCACCAAGTGGAAGCCAAACCCTCTGTGTATTTCATCAAGTTTGATGATGATTTCCATATCTATGTCTATGATTTGGTGAAAAAGTCCTAACTGTTAGGGTAAAATTTGCCACATTTGTGGAAACAAATGTATACTTTGTCGACACACAAAAAATGTTGCTTTTCAGTGTATTGAAAACTTGAGGGTCCCTGATAACCCAACATCTTTGCCAGCATAACTGTTGTTTTGTTCTAAAAAATACAAATTTATGTGGACATGACATGCTGTGTGTAAGCACTTTGTCTTGCTGAAAAGCTTGGGTACGTTTAGTGGATGGGGCATGAAAGGAAGGAACAGCTGTCAATTCAGCTAGAATCACAATCAGTCATCTAAAAATGGCATGGGACTTAGCTGGTCTGGTCTGGAGTTGCGGGTGTGGGGGGCGGGGGAGGAGGAACTATAGATGGACTGTGGGGGAAGGGAGAGGAGAAGATGACTGCTTAGGAAGAGGTGGGGAAGGGCCAGAAAGAGAGAAGCTCCCTGGGGGAGAGGATGACCTATGAGGAGGAAACATCCAGCTGGGAAGGGAGTGAAAAATTACAGAGGGAGAGTGAGATCCCGAGGCTTAGAGGAAAACAGACAGAATAAATTGAGTAGAGAGGGACACCAAGAAGCTTAGAAGAGGTCCAGAGTCAGGGGGAGAAAGAACACATGGGCAGGGATCTGCGGAAAGGCTAAAGGATACTAAAGAGGAGAGGCTAAAGGGAGGGTCTGTGCAGGGGTGGGGGTGGGTAGCAGAAAGGGCAGGATACTGAAGAAGGAGGACTTCAAAGAAGAAAGACTGACAGAGGGAGCGAGAATACAGAAAAAGAGATGTGGGGAGTGGGTCCCAGGAGGGATGGGAAGGCTCAGGAAAAAGTCAGACTTCTGGCAGTATCCCCGTTGCTCTCCCTGGCTCTGTGCACGAAGGAAGTGTGTCAACTGTCAAAGAAGCCAGATGCATTGGAGGTTCCCTTGAAGGGCATTTTGACAGGCATGACTCGGGCAAGTTAAACAGGAATCAAGTTTATACCTATAGGACTTTTCTTGTTTCGGGGAGTTCATGCCACACCTACCCAGCAGAACCCCAGCCCTCAGCCTAAACACATTAACACTCTAAGCACTGGGTGGTGGGTTAACTCCTCACATTTCCCAGAGGGCACAGGTGCAGTCAATCTTGGACCTGAAGGTCTTGGTTCATTTACCCTACCCCAGATTAACAACACTTGTAGAGAATGGGGTCGTGGGGGCTCTCAGAACTTAAGAGATGTGCCATCTTGGGTTTGGAAAGTATTTTATCCAGAAAAATGGAACTTACTGAAACCAGGTACAGCAGTCCCATCACTGTTCTTCCCACTGCTCAAATGTTCCTCGTCTCCCTAGAGGGGAGGGCCATCAAAGATGTCTCTCTCCAAGGCAAGGGGAGTACTCAACTATCCATGCTTCTTTCAGCAGTTGCCTGGAACCACAGGTGTCTCTAACCAGTGTTCCACCAAAAGGAGGCCCACTGCTCCCAGAAGCCCCATTCTGGATAGACCCCCCACAATGCCAGTTTCTACTGTCCTCTCACTGGTACCTCCTGGCTGATCGTGCCCACTCCAAGCTCACAGGGAGCTGGGATAGAAGTTTGTGCAGCTCTTTGTTTTCAGGTGAGGTAGATGCCATGGGGCAGTTGCACTGGGAGCTGTGACTTTATATAACTAACTGATTTGGCTGTATAGTGCATAGTGTATAGTTGTGGCTGGCGGGGAGAGGGAGTGGCAATCCCAGTAAAGTCCCTCAGAACTATGGTGTCCGGGTCTGTGTCCTTCTCTTTCTCTCCTCCTTGTCCTTCCCTGGTCCGCCTTCCTCCTGTGGTCCCTCTGAAAACCCTCTCTGGTTTCTACATCCCCACCCTTCACTAAATTATGCCCTTGTCCCCAAAGAGAGTGCTGGTGACTCCCCACTACCCAGGTTTCCATAACCACATGAATAGTGGGGGGAGGCAAGAAGCTTTCAGGAGTTGAAGGAAGGTGGCAAATCCAGTTCATTCTCTCCACCAGACATGACCTGAGGCTGATTGCCTCAAGATTTGCACAAGGCAAGCCCACCTCACCATGGCAGGGACTAATCTTTCTTTTATATATCACACAATTTAGTCCAGGAAACACCACCAGACTGCTCAGGAACCAGCTTCATTCAGCTGTCAGGTTTGGTTTGAACACTGTGTTTTTATTGTTTTCTATTTTAAATTAGGCACTTTAGACATTTGGGAGAGTTCACATGATGAAAATCCATCTTTCTGGCCTCTCCTGAAAATGAAACAGAAGAAAAAATCATGAAGATTAGGGCCCACATTCCAACAAGGATACAAGCATCTGGGTCTGACTCAGAATGCCCTCTCCAGTTGGCCACACCCCCAGCTGGCCTGTTTCACTCTAAGAAAATGCATTGTTGTCCCCTGGAAGCATTTGTGTTTGTACCCTTGAGGCTAGAGCCAGGGAAAACTGCCCCTTTTGACTTGCTTTGACTCCATTTGCCTCCCCCCCCATTTGCTTTTTAGTTTATTTGTTTTTTCTTCATCCCACAAATCCTTACTTTGGGTGCTCTCTGTTCCTATCACTCTTCTAGGTGTACATATTAATGATAGAGAAATGAACAAAAGAAACAAATAAAAAAATCTTACCCTCAGGGAGCTTTCATTTTCGTGTGGGAGACAGTAGCCAAAATAAATAAGTAGATGTAAAGTATTTTCGTAGTGACAAGTGCTAAGAAGAAAAAATAAAGGAAGGAATTGGCATGTGAAATTCCAGGGTGGAGTCTGAAATTAGATAGACAAGGTGGTCAGGGAAGGTCTCACCGAGCACTTTCCTTTTTTAAAAAATTACTGTTTATTTATTTAATTTGTGACTGGTTCTCGCTCTGCCTCCCAGGCTGGAGTGCAGTGCCTCGATCATAGCCCGAGTAGTTCCAGTGCAGCCTGGAACTGCTGAGCTCAAAGTGATCCTCCTGTATCAGCTTCTGGACTAGCTGAGATTACAGGCATGAGCCACTGCACGGGGTTAGAACTTACCTTTTGAGTAAAGATCTAAAGGCAGTGAGAGAACTGGCCATGTAGCTGTCTGAGGAAGGAGTATTCCAGGTAGAGGGACAGCAAGTGTTGAGTAGGCCTGGCATGTTCGAGGAACAGGGACAATGACAGCAAGGCTGGAGTTCAGTGAGCAAGGTAGAGAATGATAGGAGGTGATTTCAGAGAGGTAATGGGGATGGAGGAGAAGCAGATAGCTTAGAGCCCTGTAGGTATGTTCTAGAACAGAATTTGACTTTTGCACTGAATGTG